CCGAGCTGGGCCATCGTCCTCTGAGTTTGGTGGGCCCAGTTGTGCTCCGCTCCTTTCCTCCTCCTTCCTTTGCCCCAGCTTCCCTCTGGGTGTGGTGTGGTAGGTCAGCTCCCCTCCCCCACTAGACGATCTACTTCCATCCTCTGTGGTGCTCCCTTCCATGGTGGGGGTCAGGCCAAATCTGGGTAGGGCCGGCGCCTGGTCCAGTCTCTCCGTGGATTCCTCCGCGTGTTATGTTGCTCCTCTGGTTTGGCGTGTCCTGATGGGGTCTGTATGCCCGTTCCAGTTCTGTGGAGACACAACCAACACTCTCCCCCTGGGTGGGCGTACTACTCTTTAAAAACACGTTTTTGTTGTTGTTGCAACTGGCACACTCCCTTCATGGAGCAGTTTCTGAAGCACTTTGCACACTGGCTGGTACCCACTAGGCATTCCATCAATATCTGTTTCTGAAGCACTTTGCACACTGGCTGGTACCCACTAGGCATTCCATCAATATCTGTTTCTGAAGCACTTTGCCCACTGGCTCGTACCCACTAGGCATTCCATCAATATCTGTTTTTGAAGCACTTTGCGCACTGGCTCGTACCCAGTAGGCATTCCATCAATATCTGTTGAATGTACGTAGCTTTCACAATTATTTCAAGGCTACATAATATTCTTTAATGTATTAACATATTTTACTTTGTAAAACAAATTGCAAATCGTGTTGAATATTTTGGTGGTTTTCTATTGTATTTTATGAACAGTACCAGTATACATGTTTGAGAATAGGGATTTGTGGGTCCAGGTGAATGACATTTCTTTGAAAGTCTTAGAAGTAGACTTAGTACCTGCAATGATTGGTTGCCCCTAAAATTGGCACTAAGGTTGCTAGATTGTCCCAGCCTAGAACAAGATGCCTTGCCCCAGATTCCAGTGTGGAATGGGATGGTCCCCTTTACCAAAGCCTTCCCCGGCATTGATATCTCTTGATTCCTGGCTCTCTGGTCTACTTTTGTATACACCCTTCAGTTTTGAATTGGTTTTCCTGTAAATACCGTTTTGTACAACGTTACATTTGTGGGAGGGTGGGGGATCAGATTGAATATAGTCTAATTCCTGAGTTCTGCCACTCCGGCAGGGGACCAGACATATAAACCATGTTTTTCTAGTGAAAAAAAAAAAAAAAAAAGAAGTAGACTTAGTAACAAAGAGAATGAGGATGCTCATATTTCTGGCCACACTCTGCTGGTTTTTTTTTTTTCTAGTTCCAAAATTGTAGGTTTGGGGGAGGGCTTTGTATTCTTAAGTGTATTCTCAAGCTTTGTGTTCTCTCCATAGCAAAGACTAGAGAGCACCGCTAACTACTGGTATAGCCAGTGAAAAGCAAAACAATGCATTGCCATCAAGTCAACTCTGACTCATCGAGAGCCGATAGATTTTTCGGAGGCTGTAAATCTTTACAGGTACAGAAAGCCTCCTCTTTCTCGGGAGGAGCAGCTTATGGCTTAGAACTGCTGACCATGCTGTTAGCCATCCAACATATAACCTAGAGCCCTTGAAAATGGCATGAAAGACACTGCCACATATTAAAAAAAACTTTTTTATGTTCTATAAAACATTTATTGAATACTATAGCGATTTACATAAATTAGCATTCAAATTCCTACGGCTCCTCATGTACTTTGGAAATGCTATCCGGAGAGGCCAGTCCCCGGCCTGGCAAAGCAGAGGGTCAGTGGCAAAGAGAAAGACCCTCCAGGACATGGCATGACATGGTGGCTGTAACGACAGGCCTCAACACAAGTGGTGTGTGGATGACAGGACTGGCAGTGCTTCCCTCTGTCCTAAGTAGGGTCACCAAGAACTGGAATCAACCTCCTAGTTGCCTTCATAGTGCCTCGAGTCTTAAAAGCTTGCAAGCAGTCACCCAAGGTACTGTAACTGGCCTTTATTCACCCGGAGCAACAGAAAAAGAAGGAAAGTCAGGAAGAGGAGGAAGAAATGTGTGGCTAACTCCCTCCATGAATAGCTGCCTCCTTTGCTATGAGACCAGAACTGGATGGTGACCTACTTTCATTACTGTTGCAATCAAAGATTCTATAGCAGAATTCTGGCCAAAAGGGGAGAAAATATGGAATGTACTTTAGAATTGTCATTGAATGATGCCTAATGCAGGAAAAGACCTGTGGGTGGAAAGTCCTGTGGCTCCAGTGGTGGTGGAAGCATCTCCAGGGCTTTGGTTGCCATTAGCATTGCTCCACGTGGCTTGTCATCAGGAATGTGAAACAGACAGAGTGTGTGTCCCACCTCCAGGGAGGAAGACAGGAGTTCCCAGAATCCTCAGGAGAAGGCCATGCCCACACATAGCATGACTGGCTATGACCTGATTGACAGGCTGGACTCCACCCCGTCCCTCAAATTGACAGATTATGTAACTGCCACAAGGTCCTTTGCAGCAAATTTGCCCAATGTAAATTATTTAAAAAAATATTTTATTGGTATATTTCACATATCGTACAACTTAATCATTCAATCATATACTGGATTTTCAAATCGGGAGCTAGAGGTTCAAGTCTCCCTTGTTAAAGAAATGATGAGCTGTCCAGCTCCTTAGAGATCTACAATGGGTATTTCATTCACTCCCAAACTGAGCAATTTGGCCCAATGATCCTAGCATGGTCTTTTCCTTATGCTCTGAGAACCGTAAGCCCTCAGGAGGTGGGGCAGGGGCCAGAAATGAGGGGACAGAAAGCCTCTTCTCCCGGGCCCCTTTCCACACACATCTTGAGGGATTCCTGTCACTCTTCCATTGTTTCCCCTTCAAGAGGCACAACTAGTGTCTAACAGAAACAGCTTTTCCAGGCACATGCTTTGACCTGTCATACAGATTGTATCACTTTTGCTATACCAAAAAGCCACTCTTTCTTTGGGTGCTTGCATTTATCAGAACGCTCTGCGTGAAGGCTCTTCCCTCGGGTATCCCCATGGCAGGTATTTCACGTTTCACTCTCTCATTGTAAACTAGAGATACCGCAGAATGTTTCGATATGAAGAAAGGCAGGTGACGTATGGAACAATGTTTGTAAAAAATGTATAAATGATAGTATCAGACAGTATTGAGACTACATGGAAGGCATGTAAGGGTCATGAAGAAAATGTCAAAGTATATCAAAGAGAGGCACTATTTTTACTTATTTTTTTTAAACGACACAACTTTTTAATGTGAATTGGATGGAGGTTTACAGAGCAGATCATGAGTTTTACATTCAACAACTCATACGCATTGTTCCGTTCATTGCAATCCCTGCTAAGTACCATCACACATCCCAGTTTATATTTCCTGCTTCCACTCCTCCTTCCCCAACCCCTCTGAACTTTGTCCTTGGTTAAATGCTAACCTTTTTAATTTAAAATGGTTGAGGATTCTAAGCTGTGTGTTATTGTTCTATTAACTTATTATTTACAAAAAGGAACCGACTTACTTTGACATCCAAAGTGTGTTGAAGTTTTAGGCGCATGGACTCTTGTTCCTGGCGCTGTATTATATCTTGACATTCTGCAAACTGCAAAGATGCCTACAATCAAGCAACCACATGTGGTTTATCATTGAATCTTTTTGCACTTTTATTTTATTAGCCTATGAATACTGAGCTGCTATCTCTTCAAGGAAACTTCTCCCACTCTTGGCTCACTGGATTGCAAGGATCTATTTATGTCTCATTCAGGAAACTGTGAGCCATGTCTTTCTTTATCCTTTATATCTCCTGCACATAGCTAGCACTTAATATAGTAGAGGGCACCCAAAGGAATGAAGGATGGAAGGAAGATAGATGAGAAAACATGTGAAAAAAAATTCAAAAGTTAGTATCAAAATCTGGATGACACACAAATAGTCACAACTGGAATTCATTAAAGGGGTCAATATAACATGTCTGAAGAAGCAAACCAGCATGGGTGAGATCACAGATGGATTTGTCCAACCAGGAAGACTGTGCTGTATTTTCGAATCACAAAGACTGGTGTGGGTAGCTGTTTAGGCTTCCAGAATTCTTAAAGGAGACATTATGTCTCTTTCATAAATGCCAATGACAAATATAGACCCTGAGCCTTCTTGTTCTTTAACCTGAGTTCTCTACCTGCACTTTCTCGACTCCCCAAAGTGCCGAGTGTCGGCATTGCTTTCTGATCTCATTAACATTCTGAGTGCATTCCACCCAGCGCTCAAGTCCTCTGTAAGTCAGGCACTCGTGGAGACTTAGCCAGGTCACTACGGATGCCAAGCACGTCTGCCATCTTATACTTGACTGTTTCTGCCGCCCTGGGTAGAAGAGGGAACTGTAGCGCTAAAGGATGTGTCCAAGCCCGAGCCTCCACGACTTGAGAATGGGAGCTTATTTGAAAAAGGGTCTTTGCAGGTATAATGAAGTCTTAGATCTGGAGATGAGATCATCCTGAGTTAACTAGATGAGTCCTAGGTCCAATGATGTGTGTCTTTATAAGAAAAAGACAGGGAGCAGGTGATGTAAGAAGGAAAACAGAGACCGAAGTGATGTCTCCACAAGTCAAGACATAATGCCCCAGAGATCGCCAGCAGCCCCCAGGGACTAGGACAGAGATGCCGAATAAATTCACCCTTAGAGCCTCCAGGAGAAATCAACCCTGACAAAGCCTTGATTCCTAGACTTTGGTGAGAGATTAGGGTTCTGTTGTTTATATCCCACCTGATTTGTAGTCATTTGTCATGGCAACCCTAGGAAATCAATATGCTTATACTCTGCTAGGTTGAAAAATAGAATTTTTCAAAATGTACCTATTATGACTATGCCTTTCAGGCTCAGAAGAATTTCTCTAGAAGATATATTCTTCCTTTGTGCCAAGTGGTTAGGCTACAATATAAATAAATGGACAGACTTGGTCCCTCTTGCCATGGGACGTACATTCCGAACAATTCTTTTTAGTTAATAGTTAGTGGACAGCCACTTTACATATTTAGTGAAATTAACTACCTTATCAAGAGCCACTTCCATATTAGCAACCTTTTCTTTCAAACGACGTTCCTGAGATCGCAGGACATCCAGTTCCCCAGCCATCTTGTTTTTTTCTGTTGCAACAGTATTCAGTTCCTGGCTTAGTTTAGTCTTCTCTTCTTTTAGGAAATGCTTCTCCTAGATTTACAGAGAGGAAAATGCCAGAAATAATATGCTCCCGCAGCTGCTGACGGGTGAAGACACACGATTTTTGTTTAAACAACTATCGAATGTAATCCATGTGCCACGTAATTGCTTTTGAGTTGGAGTTTAGAACTGCTAGAACTGTGTGAATATGTACTTCGTTTCATTGCTGCTACTTGTATTACTTTTCTAGGTTTCTAAATATTTGATGAGATCTACAAACATATAATAACTATGTTGTCATGAAAGAGATAGCCCTGTTGTGAATTGGGACAAAGAACTCACACACACACACACACACACACACACACACACACACACACACACATTCTATAAGGAGGATTGACACCCAGCTGCATCGATGGGCTCAAACATAGGAACAATTGTGAGGAGGGCACAGGACCACTCAGTGCTTTGTTCTGTTGTACACAGGGTTGCTATTAATCAGAACCAACTTGGTAACACCTGACAGCAGCAATCACACACGAGGAGCCCAGATGGCACAGTGGTTGAGTGGTCAGTTCCTAATCAAAAGGTCAGCGGTTCAGAGCCACTAGCCACTACAAAGAAGAATGGTGTGACAGGCTGCTTCTGTCAAGATCTGCAGCCTTGGTGGCACAGTTCACACACGTGAAATGGTTAAGAAATACATATACACTGTATTAAGTATGGCATGTTCTGTTGAAAAGATATAAAGTTGGGCCATGGAGATGTGTGTCGGTGGGGTAGAGTTGGGAGTTACTGTAAAGGAATGGAAGGAACGTTTGCTGTCACGGCAGGTATGGACGGATGTGACTCCATTTCTACAGAGTAAACTGAGGTCGCTGACAGACGTTTGAGACAGGTGTGCAGAAGTTTTTGTGTCTATTCCTTCTGCTGTGAAGAAGCCCTGGTGGCACAGTGAGTTAGGAGTGGGGTTGCAAATTGCAAGGTCAGCAGTTTGCACCCAGCAGCCACTTGGAGGATGAAAGTTGAGGCTTTGTGCTCCCACCTGCAGGAAGAAGGATGAGGCTTCCTGGTCGCATAAAGATTTAAAGCCTCAGCAACCGCAGGGCACGTCTACTCTGCCCTATGTATGGGTATCTCGAGTCAGAACACTCCATGGCAGTAGGGCTGGTTAGCTTGTATTGCCACTGCCATGCACTGAAAAATGCAGCTCAATTGCCCTTTTTTGATTAAATTAGGCAGAGAATAGCTCAGAAAGAAAGAGGGCTTAATTCGATGCGCTTCCGCCTTTGTGTCTGGAGGATATATCATCATGCTCTGAAGATCCTTCTTAGGTGGGACAGGCATCTCTGACGACCGCAGGCAGTGACTTCTAGTCCTAACAGAGAGGGTAAGCACTGCTTTCGGCTCCAAGTAGACAAATGACAGACCAAGAACAAGAAAGGAAGACACTCAGGATGCAAGAAAAGGAGGGGAGAAAAACATGGGAAAGGAAATCTATAAGGTGTCAAGTATACAAAAGAGCTTCAAAGAGGTCATGGAAAAATGAAACTTAAAGACAAGGGAATTTACATGCCATACTTATTATATTTCTGTATTCTCTAACCATTCAACATTTGACAGTGCTATTGTTTGTATCAGGCCCCCAGAGTGGCCAAGAGTTGGGATCGACTAGAAGGTAATGGGTGCAGCTTGCCTAAATTTCTCAGCGCGGTGCACTTAGCCTATCAGCCTGGCAGTTTTTACTGCACAAAAGTGCACGGTGCCATGATTTTCAGGAACATTCAGGTCACAATATAGAATTGACTATACTTTGCTTAAAAATATTCCCCAACTCTAGCAAGAATGTCCTTTTATTCATTTCCTGCACTTAAAATACGGTCTCTCTCTCTCAAGATCCTGCTCAATGACTCCCTTAGGAACTTTCCCCATTCCATCAGTCAGCAGGGAGACCTGGTGGCACTGTTGGGTAAGAGTTGGGCTACTAATCACAAGGTCATCAGTTCAAACGCACCAGCAACGCCAAGGGAGAAAGTTGAGGCTGTCTGTCCCTGCAAAGATGGACAGCCTCAGAAACCCTATATAGGGTCACCATGGGCCCAATGGCAGTGGTTTTTGGTATTGTGCGTCTGCTATCCGTTCCTCTAGTTTGCAATGTACTGCATGAACACGCTGGTTTCCTCCTGCAAGGAAGAGAGGAACTCACCTTATTTGCATTTGTCATTGCCTCTTCTAAAAACTGTATCTTGCTCTGAAGGGCATCTATCTGACCTCTTTTGGCTGTAATTTGCTTTTGCATCCCCATTGCCACTTTCATAGCTGGGGGGAAGAAAAATCAAGGAAACAAATTGTGCCTCAGTTTGAAAGTTTTTACAAATTGGAATCAACTCAATGGCAGTGGGTTTTGGCTTGCTTACTGCAAACTGATGCTAAAATTTGTGAGAATAACCAACCATGTAAGATCCAAAGGGCACCATTTACCCACAGATATAATTCAGAGGGTTATGAAATAAGGAAGAATGAATGGAAACCGGAAACACTGGGGGGAAGTGGGACAGGCAATGGTACCTTGAGGGACTGCAATGGATGAGCTGAAAGAAAACAAGGATGGATTGCGAAAGCAAGACTGATGATCTGCTCTATAAACCATCACCCAGTCACAATGACAAATTAAAAGAACAACACAAGACTTTATGAGAAGATGACTAGCAAGATTTTCCAAGGCACCTACCTGGGAAGCTGGATGATGTTTCCTGGTTTCCTTGCTGCTGGAATTCATTTCCCTGACTATGAATAGTTGCTGTATTTCCAATGATAATGCAAGCACCAACCAAGCCTGTACTTGGGAACTACATGTATCCACTCGACATTCATTGACATGGTTAAGTTTCGAAGGTCAAGTTGTTGTGTGAAACTGGTGGTATGCAAGAGTCAAGGGTTCTGCCTCACCCTCTGTGCTGGTGTCCACCCCACACTCTGGTTGCCCACCATCCACCTGGTTCCTCTGGTCCATCTCGGGATACGTGTGGCGCAGGCCTCTTTCCCTCTCACCCCTTCCCTCTTACCTCAAAGCCCATGGGTGTGGGGTGTTGCCTACACCTCCCAGCGCCCATCCAGGTCTGGGACCACACTCATCTTGTCCACTGATCTGGGGGGACACCCTGCTTGTCCTCCATCTCCCCCGATCCCGTAGCCCCATGCAGGTGCAGCCTCCTTCGCTCTTTCCCCTGTCTCTTCTCCTTTACTGACCTCCTTGGACGCCTTTGTGTCCTCGCCTGGCCTCCCCCAGCCTGCCTGAAACCTCGAGTCATCCCACCATCACGCCACACCCTCTGTGGCAGGACAGACTTTGTGGACAAACGGGAGATGGTCTCCTGAAGTCAGTCTGTCGCTGTGCCTCAGGTCGCCCACTCATCACTCAGCCCTGTGATGCTAAAACTTAGTGAGATCAATCAACCATTTAAGCGCAGAGACACTGGTTCTATTTGCAGTCCCTCATTGTGCCTGGACAAATAGAGTGGTCATAAATGCGAAATGCCAAATAACAAGCTCATCAGTGAGGAGTTGGTGGAAGTCATATAAGAAATCATGTACAGGGTACTTTTACTCAAATGACTTTTCCAGGAATCTGTATTTGAAACATCACACTAGAAACTGACTCTTAATAATCAATATTCCAGTGAGATCACAAACCATTTCATTTTCATTCTCATGGCTACTGCCTTATGCATAGAACTCACTGCTGCCTCCTTCATCAAATTGCCAGCATAAGCAGTTTATATGATTATTTTTATACAGTTAGTGATATGTCGAGAATACTCTGGACATGTAGTGGGCACTGACTACGACATGGCAGGTCACTGAAAAGATATATGAAATTCATTCTAGAGAAAAGTTGAAAGGCAGATGACCTTATGTTGTTTGGTATAGTGAGCGGAGGAGAGAGCTTTGATGTCTCAAGTCAGCTGTTCTTAGAGGTAACAACAACAACAACACATTCCATTCTGTATAAAAACAAACCATCCGAGAGTGAAAGGTCAGTTTCTCACTGCGAGATATACTAAGTTCTGCTATGGAAACTGCCAGCGTCAGGGTTAGTACAGGTATCGCTGACAAATTCCTTTAATTAACCACAAGTCCGACATTATTTGTTGACCACTTTGAAGACAATGTAATTCTCGTTTGAAAGACAGATTGCAGTTGACCATAATGGTAATTTTCTTAAGTCAATTTTCTACCATTAAAAATATTGAGAAACATGGTTCAGCTTTGGGCTGTGATCGCAGTCAGCAGTTGGAAAGCAACTGCCGCTTGGCAGGAGAAAACTGGGGCTTTCTACTCCTGTCTCTTCAAGGGAGTGCATGGGGTTCGGACTACATCAGAAAAATATCGAGAAACATAAAAAACGCATACTTTAATTGAACAAACTAATTCTTAAGGTCAGATAACATAGTCATACTAACACTGGTATGAGTAATAGAAGACAGAACACCTTGTTAGCTCTCTATTCACATAAAGAGTAAGGTAAAAAGTGAACCGGTCTAGGGACTCTTCATCCAAGCAGTTCAATTCTGAGTTTCTTCCTTTATTATCAGAGAAGAGGAATAAAAAAAATTGCCAATTAAGCCCATATAGAGTTTGTGTAGAGAATCTCCTGAGGGGGTTGAATGAAGATTTTCAGTCATTTGTATTTCGATCAGCACTTCCTTAAAAATAAAGGACTGGCATTTGTAGACACTGTGGTGTGGGATCCAGCCCCACGCCCAGATGGCTGTGAAGCTGAAGGGAAGAAATTAAGAGACAGACAAAACTCTGGGTGCTCACTCCACCCATGGGACCAGCAGCCAGATCCGAGCAGGAGAGAGAGAGAGAGACAATGCATTCTAACATCAACTTACATAGTCTGGGGCATGCAAGCCCTCTTAATTACAGGTAACCACATATATAACAAAGTGGACTGTACCCTAACCCTAGAGCTCATTGGGGGTGGTAACCTAACACCAGTGCTGGGGGCAGGTAAGGGGGAGTGACTGTCCCTGAGCAGGGAGAGCAGTAGCAACATGTCTGCTCCTATGGATAAAGCTGCTGGCCAGATAGCAACCAGCCATGTGCTTGTAAGAGGAAACTTCAAGGTAGCATTATTAGGGAAAGATATTGTGAGGAATAATCTTATTTATGAGAATGTGATTGGGACTCATCCTAACTAACCAGTGCAAAGGCCTCCTTCCACCTGGCCTCTCAGGCTTTTTAAAATATGAATAAAGAATTTGTCCACATACACTCCCTTCCCGTTCCTGTTTCCCATACTGCAGTCTGTTAGAAATGAGCTAAACAGCCACAGGAACTTGAGGATTCAGATTCTTTAGTGATTAAGTTAATCACATGGCAGTCTCTTCAAAAAATTCTCAGCGCTATTGCTTCAAAACGCCGCTAATTACTATCTCTTCCTGTCTATTTCTCATCATCTGGCTCTGTGGAGCAGATGGCAGACAAGGGGGCATGTCATGTTGTAGTAAAGCCAGGTCAATGACATTAGAAAGACAGGAAAAGACATAGGGGATGGCCTCGTGAAACATACCATGACCATCAGATCCTTCCATCGACTTTAGCGTATTTCTCGTTTGTTCGAGTTCAGACTGAGCAGATTTTAATTGGATTTTTAGCTTGTTTGTAGTAGTTTCCATCTCTTCGCTTTTGTTTCGAAAATTCCTTTTTAAGACTTCATAGTCCTCTGAACAATGATAATCAAGGCAAATGGTTACTTTTTCTACCTTATTGTAATAAAATACATTTTATTTGTAATTAACGAACACAGAATTTCAGAGCTCGAAGTGTCTTTATTTAGTTAGCATCTTTTTTTAAAATCATTTTGTTGGGGGCTCATATAACTTTTATCACAATCCATACACACATCAATTGTGTAAAGCACATTTGTACATTCGTTGCCCTCATCATTCTCAAGACATTTGCTCTTCACTGAAGCCCTTGGTTAGTGAACATCTTACCATTGTGTGGCAGTTACATAATCTCCTGTCACCTTGAGGAAGGGGTGGGGTCTAGCCTGTCCATCAGGTCGTAGGCAATGAAGCCTCTGTGTGGGCATGGCCTTCCCCTGAGGTTCCTGGGAACTTCTGTCTTCCTCCCTGGAGGTGGGACACATACTCTCCTTTTGAGACATGTCTGTTGGCAAGCCACATGGCAAGCTACACTGATGGAGCCAACGCCTTGGAGCTGGAGGAGCCACGTGGGGACTCATGCCAGCACTAAGATGCTTCCATCACCACTGAATCCACAAGATTTCCCCCTCACTGGCCTGTGATCTTTCTGCATTCAGTGTCATTGCATGTGTTGCAAGAGTCTGAAGAGGAATTTATAGACTAGTATCGGACATATGGGCTAATATAGGACTTCATCTGGCCTGGGTTCAGATGTTTTCTTTGATATAAAGCTCTTTTTTATATAAAGCTCTTTCTCATACACATATGCGTGTCTATGCATTTGTTTCTCTGCTCAACCTGGACTAACACAGAAATTAGATGTCCACACACATTTCCAGAATGCTCCTGAGCAGCGAAGATGGTGACACTTTGTCTCACCTCTTTAGGTGATACCAGTCCCTGGAAAAGGACATCGTGCGCGACAATGTAGAGGGTCGGCAAAAAGGAGGAAGACCCTCAGCAAGGTGGACGGCCACCGGGGCTGCAGTCATGGGCACCTAAGAACAATGGTGCGGAGGGCGCAGGCCCGGGCAGTGCTTCCTTCTGTCGCACACAGGGCCGCTCTGAGTTGGAGTGGACTCGATGACACCTAACGATACCTTAACCTAACGATTCCAAGGACTAGGCTGACCTTTCTATTATCTGCTTGGGTGAATCTGTTTCCTTTATCCACCGACTGTTCACTGCTTTATTCCTAGCCAGTGCAATTGGTCCGTACCTGGGTATCTATTATAACTATTACATCTATTTTTACAGATTTAACCACATAGCGAATCTTCATGAACTTGTTGACTGGCCTGATGCCTCTACTACTGTTCTCTCTTCGGAGGCAGCCTAACAACCCTTATTTGTCACACGTGAAGAGAAACCTTATGTTCTCTTAAACAATAGTCCTAAGTCCACATCAGACTTCAGTGATGCAACCACTGTTTGTAACGGGATTTTGAAAGGAAGCAACGTACCTGTAAGGTTATTCAACTCGGTCCGACTAGTTTTCACCTCACTTAGTAACTGGTCTCTCTCCTGTTTGATGTCCTTCACGGCCCGGAGCCGTTCCGAGCCTGCGTTCACCAGCTTCACCTTCTCCAGCTCCAGGTCACTCACTCTGGCCTCAAGCTCCCGTATCTTGGCATCTTTTTTATCTTTTAAAATCTAAATATATGAACACAAACGATCAAAAAGGGAAACAAGAAAATGTGCCTATATGTAGCTAAAAACCGATATTCTATTACTACATTATTTATATTAATATCTTCACTATTTCCCAGGATTCTAGATTTGTATTCTGTGTTAAACCATGAACAGTAAGGAAAACAAAGAATATTTAACCTTTCTTTTAAGCTTACCTGTCAATCCCTTGATCACCTACTTTGTGCCAAGGTACTACTTTACACCCTGAGGATACAGTAATAGGGCGGGGACTAGGGCGAGACAAGGGAGATGGCTGGGTGGAGGATGTCCATTAGTTTTGCTCCCCTGTCCCTAGGGCTGCCCTGTACAAAAAATAAACAAGGCCCTTGCCTCCACAGAGCTTATATTCTAGCGAGAGCAGATAGGCCACAAACACATATCTATTTACTATGGACCCTGGAAGTGGCAGAGTGGGTTCAAAACCACCAGTTGCTCCATGGGGGAAAGATGAGGCTTTCTATTTCTGTCAAGAGTTAGTCTCGGAAACCCACAGGGGTGGTTCTACTCTGCCTGCCTGTTGGTTGCTATGAGTCAGAAATGACTTTGGGGGTTTGTAATCATCAGTGATCTCTCGCTGCCATCAAGTTGATTCCAACACATACACTACAAAAAACCCCAACTCACTGCCAATTCTGACTCATGGAGACCTTAGTGGACAGGGTGGAACTGGCCCTCTGGGTTTCTGAGATGGTAACTTCTTGCAGGAGTTGAAAGCCCCGTCTTTCTCCCTCAGAGCTGGCTGGTGGTTTTGAGCTGCCACTTTGCAGCTAGCAGCCCACCTTATAACCACTGTGCCGCCAGGGGCTCCTTCCAGCACCGTGAGACCCTATGCAAAGGAAGGGGGAGGGGTAGAGTGGGCATGCAGAATGGGGGTTGCTAATGGAGATGGAGATAAACTGGTATGCAGAAAAAAAATTCCATATCAGGATTGAGAATGCTGTCTTTAGAAAGGCTTGCTTGTGGGGTAGAGAAGGGGTAAAAATGAGGAGTTGAAACCAAGGACTCAAGAAGAAAGAAAATGTTTTGAAAATGAGGGCAACAAATGTACAAATGTGCATGACACAATGGATGGATGGATTATGATAAGAGCTGTACGAGCCCCCAATAAAATGATTAAAACAAAAAACCCACCAACCTAGCTAACTCCTTAAACAAAACTGAATTTCCTTTCAGGTTAAAAAAAAAATCAATAAAATATTTGAGTGGCAAAAAAAAAAAAAATTGAAAGAAAGGACTGCTTGCAAGGTTGGTCCTCGGCTGGAGTGTGGGAACTTGGATTTCAGGAGGGTTTCAGCCAGCCAGACAAGGGTGGCTCACTGTGCCAAGACTATTTGTGTAACAATTATGATTTATGCTGAACACCTGCTTTCCTCCCGGGCAACTGGATTTTGGATACATGCCAGGCAAAGTGCCTACATGACCAGCCCTCAACAGAAATGCTGGGCATCGAGTGTCTAATGAGGTTCCCTGGTTGGTGATACTTCTTCACATAGGTCACAAGGCATTGCTGAGGGAATGAAGGGAGTTATGTGTGACTCCTGGGAGAGGAACCTGGGAGCCCTGCTTCTGATTTCCCCTCGGCTCCATTCCCAGTGCCTCTTCCCTTTGCTAGGTCCCCTGCATCTATCTGTTTGCTGTAATAAACCACCGCCATGAGTCTAATTTACTCTCTGCATCCTGAGAGTCTTCCCAGAGAAGTTTGGTCTTGGGAATCCTGTCACAATTGGTCAGAGCAGGCCTCTGAGGAGGTCAAATTTCAGCAGAAACTTCCAGGTGGCCCAAGAGCACGCCCTGTGACTAGCTGGGGGAGATTTCTAGGTCAGGTGAAGTGGCTGTGGTACAACAGGACTATCTGTCTAGCTCAGTGGTTCTCAACCTGTGGGTCACGACCCCTTTGGGGGGATTGAAGGACCCTTTCCCAGGGGTCGCCCAATTCATAACAGTAGCAAAATTACAGTTAGGAAGTAGCAACGAAAATAATTTTATGGTTGGGGGGGGGATCACCACAACATGAGGAACTGTATTAAAGGGTCACAGCATGAGGAAGGTTGAGAACCACTGGTCTAGCTGGAGTGCACTGAGCTTGGGGGAAGTGGTAGAAGACAAAGGCACAGAGGGAAGCATGGGCCACAGTCAAGTGATCTTACAGGTGATGTAAGAACATGAGGTTTCATTCTGAGATAAGAAGCTGATAAGATAATAAAGACAGTTTTCAGCATGGGGGTGATTTAACATGATGTTTAAAAACAACATTTTTAGACGTGTGGAAAATTGAAAGTGGTGGCAGCAGAGTTAAGAGTGGAAGCAGGGAGATCAGCAGAAGACAATTACAAGGGCAAGTGAGTGAGGTGGTAAGTTAGACTAGAGTGGCTAGGCTTGGGATCTGATCCTTTGAATGGAGTAGGAAATATGAGTACTGTATAGAAATTCTAATTCTTTGCTTCTAACAAACTGCCCCAAATTCCTAGCTAGGTGTGCTCTACACACTCTGAGCAGACCCTCATTCCTATCTCACAAAGGGCTTTCCTTCTTGACTTCTACCTGATGTTCTCTGTCAGGGTGCCAACATTCCCCAGTCTCTCAGATCCTAAAGATCCAATCTCTCTGTCTGCTTGGTCTTTCCTTCCAATGCTTTATGACCAGTTATTCACCAACTCGGTCCCAAGTTTGGATTATTTTCATCACTGGTTTATATCTGGGTTGTTGAGGTTCCCACGGTGAACCCTTTTCTTCCCAGAGCCTAGGCCTGTGTTGTCCAATATGGTAGCCACTAGCTAAATGTGACATTTAAAAACAAACCCTTTTTATAGTGAATTAAGTGAAGCCTTACAGAGCAGATCACAGTTGTACATTTAGCAATTCCTATGCAACCGGATTCCATTTATCATAACATTTCCTTCAATATGCCCTTATCCCACTTCCTTTTTGCTTCCTGTTTCCATTCTTCCTTCTTTCCTCTTCTCCTTTGATCTTTTCCCCCCTTTGATCTTAAATGGCTGATTATGCTACCACAGAGGGGAGTGCAGTTCCAGACCTGAAGGGTAGGGGCACAGTCTTTGGCATTGCACCAGTCTCTGTCTGACCAGTAAAGAACCTGGTCTCTTCATGAGTTTGAGTTCTGTCCCACGTTTTTCTCTCACTCAACCCAGGACCTTCTGATGTGCTCCTTTTTCAGAGAAGTTGGTAGCAGTTGCCGGGTACCATCTCGATATTCTGGTCTCAGGGCTGTGGAGCCTGAGGTTTGTATGGTCCATCAGTCCATTGGATGGGTTCCAACCACATGTGACTATTGAGAAATGTTTAATTTAAGTTGGGAGGCACGATGAGTATAAAAAAACACCAGATTTCAAAGACTTCATGTAAAAAAGAATGCTGAATAAGTCAGTAACTTGTTACATTGATTACATAATAAAATATCACCACATTATAGATATAGAGAGTTAAAAATGTCATTAAAATTAATTTCACCTGCTTACTTTTATGCCTTTTAATGCGGTTACTAGAAAATTTTAAATTATGCATGTGACTCAAATTGTATTTATAGTGGGCAGAGCTGGTCTACATCCTTCTAAGCAAATGTCTTTTGAACAGAAGCTTACTTTTCTTGGTCATCAGATTATCCTCCTAAATTAAGGACTATTGGCCTTAAATATAAAACTTGCTAACTGTCTGGTAAGCATTAACCTAAAAGTTGGCAGTTTAAATCCACTAGCCACTCCTTGAGAGAAAAAGCAAGGTAGCTTTGCCCGTAAAGATTTACAGCCTTGAAAACCCTACATAGGGTCACTATGAGTCACAATCCACTCAATGGTATTAAAGGCTTGGAAAATTTACAAAAAATTTTTAATATAACTTGAGTGCATGACAGCAGTTCAAATGCAGCAATGTTGTTTGAGATGTCAGCATATGAGAAGCGGTTTAAAAAAGGAATCGTGTTGAGCTCCAGGTTTGTCTCAATGCCCACCTTTGGCAATTACCCACTTGAGGCAGTTGTCACAGTGAATCTAACGGGGTTCACAGCCCCAGACAAGGCGAGGGTTTTCCTTGGAATAGAACAACTGCACATGACCTGGGCATGTACTGCTCCCATTCCACCTCCTGGGACCAGCTGGCGGACATTCAGTTCTTCCCGGCCTTGGGAGTAAGACTCCTCAGAGGAGCCTTGATTACTAGGAGAAAGCTCACTCTTTCTCTGATGTGGGTATGAGCCTAGAGAGGGTGGGAAACCATGGTATTAACTACCTTCTCCTGCTAGGGTCCCTTTCCCTTTTTTTTTTTAACATTTTATTAGGGGCTCATACAACTGTTAATCGCAATCCATACACACATCAATTGTGTAAAGCGCATTTGTACATCATTTCTCAAAATAGGGTCCCTTTCCTTTCTTCCTCACTGTATTTTGGAGGGAAGAGCATAGGGCATTTTAATCTATACAAGGAGACCTCAAAAAGTGTGTGAAAAATGTCCTTGGTCTTTTAGTTCTGTTTTTTTCCCCCCGTGAATTTTTTTGAAGGCCCCTCACGTTCTTGGCATTTGCATGAAGTTCTTCTCACCCAGAAAATCTTGCCCTGAAAGCTGGTGGCGTAAAGCTTAGGAAATCAATTTTTTAAAAACTCACTCATTTGTTTTGGATTTGTTAAATATTTACTGAGCCCCCACTGGGTACAAAAATGAGTGGGTGCCCTACTTGGGGAAGCCTGCAGCCGTGTTGTGAAAGGAGACGTTGCACCCACATGTACACAGTAAAGGACAGAATATGAGCCAGGCTAGAACAGGCCCAAAGAAAAGTGTGCTGACGTTCAGAATGGCACGGAATATGGGGAAAGGAAACTTACTAAAAGCCTTTGACCAGCCAGGAACCAGACTAAGTCCTCCACAGGTACCTTCTCACTGAAGCCTCACAGGAACCAGACTAAGTCCTCCACAGGTCCCTTCTCACTGAAGCCTCACAGGAACCCAGGGAGGCTGTTGAAGCTTTTTGTTCTGTTTCTTGTTTGACTTTATTTGACAGACACAGAAGCCAATATTCAGCTAACTGGTTAATATTTTATAGCTATTAAGTGGTAAGAGATGAAAGTCAAACCTACGTCTGTCTGAAGAGGGAGAAAATACATCAAACCCTGAGATCAGACTGCTAACCGCAAGGTCAGCAGTTCAAAATCACCAGCTGCCCCTCGAGAGAAATGAGGCTTTTTACTCCTCCCATAAAAAGCTACAGTCTCAGAAACCCACAGAGGCCGTTCTAAAGGACTCAGTGTCCATGAACCTGGGTTTATGGTGAGATCAGGAAAGACTTCCTGGAGAAGCTAGATACTCTGAATTCTTTTCTTCTCTCCTGATAGGTCTGAACCCACCCCCCACCCCCCACCTTTTTTGGACAAGTCTCCCCTTTGAGAGCTGATAAAAGTTTGAATTCTTTCTTACAAAACCACAAAATGCAGATAGACACAAATAATTTTAAATCATTTCAGAGGGCCCCTTTTACAGTAAATTATGTCATACCTACTCATAGTGGGAGAAAAAAATCCACAAGCTAAGACACCAGAACCTCTACGGACCTTGTATTCCTGTAGTTCCAGCCTCCGATCATTAATCTCTTTCTCAAGTTGCGCTTTCTCCACTTGCATGGCCCCGGCAGTGCGTCCATGCTGGCCAACCAACTGCGTCATATTTTCAATCTGTTGTCGCAAAATCTCGATCACCTTGTCCTTTTCTGCCATCTGCAGTTTGAGGGCCTCGCACTCTGTCTGCACGTTTCTGAGGTGATCGCCCTCGTTCTTCAAATGCTGCAGCTCCTGCAGCTTCAGGTCAACCCGGGAGCGGAGCTTCGTGATCTCTGCGTTGGTGGCCTCGATGGCTCGCTCCTTCTCCTGCAGCGAAGCCGTCAGGTCTGACACGGTCCTCTCGGAACTCTCCAGAGTCATTTTCTTGGCCGTCAGCTCTTCTACGACTTTGCGAAGCATCTCTTTGGTGGATTCCAGCTGAGCCGTCAAGGAGGACACTTTTTCTAGACTTTCATTCTTTCCCTGAATTGCTGCCATCTGAAAAAGAGAATTGCATGCATTTGGGAGGATAGGGACAGGCGGCTTTAGGAAGTAGAGTTGTTAAACTCGAAAATATGACGTTCGGGGTTGGAAAATGTAGAGTTAGATTAACGATCGCATTACTGAGCAGAATTCTTGATTGAAATATGACACACGTTCATTAGACCAAACTAGAGAGGACTTAAGGAGCCCTGCTGACACAGTGGGTTAAGCACTGGGCTGCTTTCTGAGAGGTCAGAGGTTTGAGCCCAGGAGAAAGATGAGGCTGGCTGTTCGAGTAAAAGATATGCAATCTGCGAGACCCTAAGAACAGTTCTATTCTCCCCTATATAATCTCCTCCATCTAAATCAGATGGACTTGAGTGAGGACAGTGTGTGGAGA